ATATCTCAGATACAGTTTTACCAAAGTCCAATACTCCCATTGACCAAATTGAGGTCAGTCTCGGATGGTTTTTATAGCATCTGTCAATTCGTCCCATATGCTAACACGGAGGAGGAATAAAATCAGGGAATGTGCGATAAGCTAAACGAGGACAAAAACACTGTTAACATTATAATGATTCATTAAAACCCACATTTTCTAACGAGTGTGTGTGTAACATTTGTTTTCCTCTGAGCGTTAAACAACAAAATCAATGTTGGCTTACGTCTGTGTTAAAAATGTCTGACCCTCACATAAACCAAGTCGCAGCTACGTGTTCGTGCCCCCTTGTTTCCAGTTTTGGTTCAATGCCCTCAGATGAAACAATTAAACAGATACTGTGGGGTGATGACGACCACATGTCGTCTGAGAGAGAGGAGGACTCGATACCTGGAGATGAAGAGTTGTGAATCACCCTCATCATCCTCAGGTTGTTAAGTCTCTGCGGAGGAGTTTCAGACGAGTCACACGTCTGCATCAGTAACAGGCCCTTTTCTTTTTTTTTCATAGATATGTAGATGTCATTTACCAACACACAGTTACACACATCTAACGCCCTGAGGAGAATCATTTTTCAACCACAACAACACACACACACACACACACATTGAGCCGTCTGCAGTCCCACAGGCAGGCGGAGTAAATGAGGTGGAAATGTATGAAGCTTAAAACATCCCCGGGGAAACATTATGTGAAAGAGACACCATTTTACTGTGGAGGGCGAGAGGAGGAACAGAGCTGAGGGCCAAACTGCTTGTGGTAACAAAAGCTGAGAGCCTGACATGGTGCACAAGTCAAAGTCTCATTTGAATTAAAGTCGTTCTCACAGCTTTTACACATGCAAACCTCACATTCATCTTTATGACTTTCTCTGGACATTATTTTTCCAGGAAAGGAAGAATTACATTTTTCTCTACATCATTGCAGTGATGCAACATTTGATTTATTTGATTTATCACTTGACAAAAATCTTTTGTCAATAGATTCTAAATAAAGATGGACAAAGCAAACATGTCCCAAACATGATGTACTCTGACTCCTACCATTTTCTTAGATTAACTTTTGTGGAAATCTGTCGTAGTTTTGATGTAATCCTGCTGAAAAAAATGAATACAAACCTTGACGAAGGTTATTATTCATCTACGATAACTGATGAAT